TCTCTGCTACATTCAGGCCTCAAACAGTTTTTAAGTATAGAATCATAAAATAGTTTATGTTGGAAGGGACCTTGAAGATCAAGTTCCAACCTTGTTGCCATGGGTAGGGACACTTCCCACTGTACCAGGTTGCTCAGAGCCCCATCCAAGCTGGGCTTGAACATTTCCAGGGATGGAGCATCCACTGATAAGGACAGCAGAACACAACGGTGTTTTATCCACTTGATAAGGCTAGTAGAGCAGAGCAACATTTACTCTTATCAAGGACAGTAGAACATAGCAGCAGAACTTTGGAGAAATAAAGTATGCAACTTAGGCAAACAGAAATTATGCAAAATACAAGCAGAATACCAGCTCAGCTCTGCAGAGTTGATAGAGCAGAAGTTATGCAGAATGATAATATTGTGATCACTCAAAAGCAGGGGTCAAGGAACAGACACCTAAAAAGGACACTGGACATTGAAGACAGACCAAAGAACCATATCAGGACTTCTGACTTATGGGTCAGACTTCTGTCGTAAGGGTGTGACTATGTCAAATAAGGTCAAGGAAGTGGGATAGCTAATGGATATGTAATCAGTGTGAGTGATAAAACCTCTGTTCCAACACTTGTCACACGCGAATGGAGGAAGGATTCCCCCGAGTGGCCAGCACATGTAATAAAGAACACCTGCTTTCTAATGCTCAGAAGTGTGTTAGAAAGTTTCTGTCTGGCTGATTTCACTATCACCACAACCTCCTCAAGCAACCTGTTCCAGTGTCTCACCACCCTCACTGTAAAGAATTTCTTCTTTACATCTGACCTAAGTTTCTTGCCTTTCAGTTTGAACTCGTTCCTTCTTTTCCCATAAGTACAGTTCCTTGTGAAGGGTCTCTCTCTGGCTTCCTTCAGGCACTGGAAGGTTGCTATGAGGTCTCCACCAAACCTTCTCTTCTCCAGGCTGAGCAGCCCCAGCTGTCTCAGCCCATCTTCACAGCAAAGCTACTCTAATCCTCTTATTAACTTCATTGCCTCTCCTGGACTTGCTCCAACTCTTCCATGCCCTTCTTACATTGGGGACACCAGAACTGCATGTGTATTCATAAAGCTGTTGTTCAGTCTTAGAACAGCTTGTCATGTATTTCTGGCCACTCTACTGCTGCATGGATGTCTTCTCTATGCAAATAATTTTTAAGGTACTTGTGTTCATTGAACATGTAACTTTAGTGGGTAGGTATCCATAATACATATATAGACATATTTGAACAACGTTGTGAATGTCTTCTAGAAGACATATTGTTCAACTGTTTTACTTGTTCAGTGGCATTTAGTTAGCAAAAAAGAAAGGATGTCTCCATAGATTAGCACTGGTTTTGTGGTTTAATGTTTTTTTCAAATGAAATACATAATGGTGAGGGTCTTAATATTCTAGGGAGTTTCATGTGTTTATTTTAAGTGTACATTTTTCCTTTCTTATTCATGGTGGCTAAGCTACCAGAGAAACTTAATAAGAATGGAGGTGAAATAAAAATCATTGATGCTGTCTTACAAATAGCAATCTCCTTCAAATTCACATTTGTTAAAACCGAATTTTATAATTATTGTAGTTGAAGACATACTCAGGTACTGTGCAAGATATTTTATGCTTTTAAGCCTCATGTGAAAAATTCACTGGTAGTCACTGAACCATCACAAGGAGGTCTCCAGTCATCTTGCCTTGACACCAGAACTGTTTACAACAGATACAGAATTGTATAGTTCGATAGCAGCAAGGTTACCTTTAAAATGTTCTCATTAAAACAAACGTGCTTTCTGGAAAAAAATTCAGCATGTGATGCATTGAAAACAGCCATCAGTCAGAAAAAGATTCCAACAACTATTGTTCACTTTATTTGACTGATCTAATAAGGCCAGTATGCCAGAAGCAGTTTGTTATACCAAGAACTCTAACCTTCATCTCACTTCAGGGAAAAAAAAAATAAATCAATTGTCATTTTCAGCTCTTTAGAAGACTCTGCATCTTATTTTACAAAGCAAATACTTGTTCCTATTATGGTGGAGGAAATAAAAATGCAACTTCTGTCTAGAAATTTCTGCTTAGCTTATTTCTATTTTATGAGAATTTCTTCCCCTTGACTGAGAACGCAGCTTAATTGCTCAATAAAAGTGTAAGGTTTTAAGACAAAAAATCTACTATAAAATTAAATGAGATTTAAAAAATGTATGCTAAACAATGTGTCCGTTCATTGCACCAGAGCTGCTGGCTTTGAGAGCTGAGAATTGGAGGGTCAGATTCATTAAAGCTGTATTGATGTCAGACAAAGTTGAGGCAGCATTTTGTCCTAAGTTTACAGCATATTCAAATTCAGCACAACTGACACAAAAATTTTGTGGAACTGATCACTACCGGGGATGTGAGGTCTTTATTCAAAGATAACCACATCTTCCCAAATGAAAGAAAAGTCAGATTGCAACATTGTTGTTTGGGGACTTTGGGCTCTGTGACATTTCCTCTGTGAATTTCATCTATTGAGCAGTGACAAAGTAGACAAACTGAATTCTCCCTTTGTGTTCTGCTGCTCAAAATTAATGAGAAAAGACTCTAAGGCCTAGGTTTTAAAGCTCCTGAGAAGCTGCTGGAGACACACCACAGGGGTAGGATTTTTGCCTGTAGCATTCTCAGAGATTCACAGATTTGTGAATAAAGCCAGTGCCTGACAGTTCGAGAAGATGGCACTCCACAGAAACTCCTGACAGCTATTGCCATCCCTTCACGAGGCACTTGGTATTTCTGTGCTGGGAGAAATGCTTCAGCTTCTTTAACCTTCAAACCATACCTGGGGCGTGTTTTCATACCAATTTCAGCACCCTGTCAAAACAAGGATAGCTTTTCAGGGACTGTGACCGAGGAGTGGTCAAAGGGACAGGCCCAGGACTGGTGTCCAGACAAGGTTTTCCCCTTGCTCTGCTTGTGGAGGCGATGGACACTCCTGGTTCGGGTGGCACTTTGGTGGCAGGGGGCCATGGCTCCTGGCAGGCTGCCAGCAGTGCAGAGAGCAGACCCTGAGAAACCATTGATGAGACAGTTTGGGGTCAAGCAGAAGCTTCCTGTTTCATTTTGATATAAAATCAGAAAACTTGGGAGTGATTGCTGTTGTGAGGGCTTTTAGAATTACTTATACAAACCAAAGCAAAAAATCGGGGGTTTTATAAGGCAGTGTGATATTAAAATTTAAATTGTAAATCCCTTCCATAATCCTCACCAGGATTAAAGCATATAGATGAATGAAATATTATGGACATTTTTACACATATTTGCTTTCAGGTTTTTAATATATATTTCATTGTCTGTTAAGTCCTTGCATCACTAGAGAGCCTAAAATAGCTTGCTTCTAAAGCTGAAGCCAAATGGACTTAATTATAGTGGAAATGGCATACCTTTTTTTTTTTTTTTTTGTTTCACTGCCTCATATATTTGTCTGTCACTTCTCTCTGCTCTACAGGATTGAGAAGAAAGAATTCCATACTAATAAATCCAAACTGAGTAACAAGTTAAACTCACTGGCCCTACCATCATACTTAGACAGGGAGACAGGACTTTCTTACAGGTCTTGAATCTCAGTTATACTTGTCAGAGAACTATAAATATTTACAGGAATATGCTGGCAGAATCTCTCACCAGTCTTATAATCTGTTATTAAAATTCTGCTTTGTGGATATGTCATGAATTTATGGATTTCCTCCTTGATGAATGGTTACAACATAACACACAGCTGAGCAGAAGGTGGCAGAAATTTTGAGTCACTGACTGATTCATGGTGAAACATTTACCAGTAAGGAACACTTATCTGGACTTTGTTAACTCTTTTTGATGCCTCTGTTCTTCTGGGATTGATTCTGTTACCAGATGGCCTCTGAATATAAAGAGAGATAAAAATACATGCTTAAAGCATGTAGAAAAATTCCTTTTTAAGTAATGGATAAGGAGAAAAATATTAGACTTGGAAAAGCCCTGGGTAATGATAATTATTGTTGTTCCTCTCCTAAAAGAGAAAGATAATTCCCTATTTTATGTGTTGCAACCTTGTAAAATGATGGTAATAGTAAGCTGACATTTCAGTTCATGTTTGCAGTTCCTCTAACATGCATTTCATACCTGAAAGAAAGATTATTTATTTATGCTTTTTAGAAACAGTGGTTTTGAACATGGTAAAAGTAGTGATTGGGTGTTGCAGTTCCAGAGCAGAGAAGTGCTGCTGACTTGCATGGGAATTCCCAGATTGCCACTGAAAAATTTGATTTTGGATTGATCCCATGCTTTTTCTCCTTCTTTAATTTTATATATAAAAAGGTGAGGACACTCATTTTTCTACCTTCTTCTAGCACTTCAGAAAAACCCAAAAATCTCTCTCTTGCTTTGTTTTGGAATCTGGCACCTTTCATTCAAAAATAAAGAAGTCCTGGTATCTGGACGCTACATATTCCAAGTATTTTGTGAATGTTAAAACTATTATGTCCATTTTTAGAACCATATGCTTTTGGTTTTCTACATATATATATATATTTCTTTGTCAAATCCTTGCATCACTGAAGAGCCCAAAAGACCTTCAGATCTATGCAGGCCAAATATTTTCCTTCTCTGTTCAGCAGTCCCTAGTTGGACCAGGGGCTTTTAATAGCTCTTGATAATTGATTATATACAAAGACATAGGTTTATGTTTTTGGGATTGTAGCCCAATATTTATTTTCACTTGATTTTCCATGATTTTTTAGATGTTTTTGTGAGTCAGGTCAATCAAATATTTCTTAGTGTAATAAGATTTGATTGTACTATAGGCATCTGAGTAAGAGGTGTATGATTTCCTGCATAGAACCTTTATTAAGAAATGCTCTATGATTCTCTAAATAAATTAATCATTCAAAATTTCAAACATTTTTAAAACAGTATTTGAGTAACTCAGTGTATTACCAAAGAATTATTTCACCCTTTCTGATACTCTTGATTTCTTGGCACATCCAGAAAACTTCACCACTAGTGATCAAGGCTGTGAATGACTTAAAACATTGTGGGAATTACCTTCTATCCTGATAAAATCATATGGTAAGTAATGCACTCATTCATTGTGAATAAGCTTTCAAAATTTGAAGTTAGTTGGCACTGATTCTCCTACAATGTCATTTTCTGAAGCAGCCTCAGTACTCAGTCTGAACCACTTTGCCATGCTTTTTGCTGCATAAATTATTGAGTTATACTTTGATGTTTTATTTCATTTTAGAAAATATCAGTCACCAGTTGGATGGAACCCTACTGTTCTTCAGTACCCAGGACTCAGCAGGCAGAAGTGAAGAAGCTTTTTTATTTTTCTCTGCCGAGACTGGGTCAGTCAGAGAAGCAGACAAAGTGTTGAAGAGCTCTCCACCTTCACCCTAGAGCAGAGAGAGATAATTCTTTGCTCTTGGCTGTTGTATTTTATGTAATTAGGATATATTTTTTCAATCATTCCGGATGCATTCAAGTTGTAAGTGGCTCAGGACGCACACAGTGAATTATTATACTGTTGGCCTATACTGGAAGCTTTATGAGCTGTTCTGCATCCTGATTTGTTAGAGGAAGATGAAACCCCATAAAAGTGAAGCTGAAAGCTACAGAAAACATTACTGCTTTGTTTTTCCTATTTATGAAGCACTGAACTGTAGAGTACTCTAATGATAGCTTGTATTAATTTTAACAAACTTGAAAATCTTGCTGACTAGTCTAACATTTAGGTGCTTTTTCATTCTCTTTCTCATCAACCTTTAGCTTTTTGCTGGAGGCACCACATTTGTTATGTTAGTGTAAGTAGATAATTACAAACAGTGGTAAAATGAAACTCCACCACTGGTAAAGCTGAGAGGTTTTTAAAAGTTTCATCCCACCCAGCTACAAAAAATTTAATTTAAATTAAAATATATGGCTTGTGATTGTGAACATATCAGTTTTATTACCATAAAACTTTTTTTTTTTTTTTTTGGTGCTGCTTTTTAAATAGCTTCAATTCTGTTAAAAAATATGGAAAACATTCCACTTCCTAAAACTAGCATTGGTTTTTGGTTCTTGTTTTCTACTTACACATGAACACTTACACATGAATTTGGCTTCAGAAACTACCTATGGGATTTGGTGGGGGGAGGAAAAGTAATCCCTCTTCCTACAGATCTGTTTTTAACTAAAGGTTAAAGTGTGTAGCAGTTGAAACTCAGGTGATCCTGAGTTGTCTGTCGCAGGTGATCTTTAGCCTTTTGTAAGCAGGGAGTTATTTTGCAAAGACACGGGGGATGTATTGTATGGGGGGTAGGTTATAATGCTTGATCTTGTACTGAAGGCTTGAAGAAAAGAATACTAAAGAGGGAATAATAAGTGGTAAGAGAATAGCATGGGCACAGCAAGGGCCTCCTCTTCAGATAAGTTTAGGATGTGAAAAAAACAACTGTTGGTTCATTCAAAACCTTAACCTGCAGCTGCATCTACTGATGCTGCTTCAAACTTTATTTATGTCTAGGCAGAATATATTTTATATATGTCCTGTAAACATTACAGCTCTTAATGCTTTCTTTGGCCTTTGTTCTGTATTGCATTATCCTGTGTGAAATCCATCCTGGGAGCAGACATTGGGCACAACATTACATGAGATTCAATGAAGTTGTTACAGTAAAATTTAATGGGATGTGGACTATGTGCTGGACTTTTTCCAAGGATGAATTTTACCCTTTCTTTGCATGAATTTCTGATTTCTTCCTTTGTGAAAGTTCCCCTATTTCTGTTAAGGTGTCCTTATGCTCTTTAGAAATTAATATGTATTTTTGTCCTTTATTAAAAATATGACAAGAATACTGGCAACAAGGAAATGTCTTTTCTATTCTTTCATCTTAGTGAGACTGTTTGCAGAAAAGGAAGAAGAAGGAAATACAAATTCACTGGCACTTCATAAATATTATTTGTACATAATATCTTCAAAATTATATTCCTTCTTTTTTTTTCCTGACCCATTTTAAGATCAGCATATGCCCCAGGGACCTTACAAAAATTGGAAATATATTATGACCACTGTTTTTATTTTCATGCTATGAAAAAGAGTAATCAATATTGCAGCTCTGTAGTTCTTTGATCTCCTGACTTTATTATGCATGGAGATGCCTATTGCATCCACAGGTGTTTACTAAGCTTGTCTTCATATGATTCTTGATAAAACTAAGAATAATATCCTCACTTAAATCAGCAAATGGGGATGTATTTTATAGTAATTTTATTCATTAATTTGATTTAATTAATTTAGTTTTAGTCATTTTACAGTAATCGTAAACATCAAGTTAGAGAATTCACTTTTATAGGCTGCTTAGCACTGACCTATCAATGCTTTTGTATTATAATTTAATAATTTTCTGTCTTTTTCAACTATGGTAGTAATTTTTAAAGATTTTTTTCTGTCAGATAATAAGTGTGTATGCAAGTATCTATGCATATTCAATTCTCTGTATGCTTCATGGAGGTCACATTTTCAAGGAGAGCAGATAGTTCAGGAAAAAATTCCTACACATTTACAGACACACTCAAGCACAAACGCTATGTTTATGACACAGTTTATTCTGATAGAAATAGAAATCAAGTATATTGAATGAAAGGGAAATTTTTAGGCTGAAGAAAAAATACTTCAGTTGTTGTCCTTGCATTAGGAGGAGAAACAGTAACCATATGCAGTTTTCCAGGGTTGTTAAAATAGCCTAGTTTTAGAACTGTGTAAGAAAATGTGAATTGAAAGATAGGAATAAGGCATATGGCAAAGTGATTGAATATCTTATTGCAGGAGTTGTAAACTGATTTCACTTTAGGTCAGTTATTGACATTCCCCACAACTCAAACCATGGCTTCAACAGTCCTTCTTGAGCAATATTCTGCCTTTGTCTCAAAAATGGTGTATTGTTCAGGGGCTTTTTTTAAAAGGAAAAATGCCCTTGCATTTTCCAAGCAGTTTTAAGAGGCAGAGACAAAATGAAAATGCTTTAGATCAAGATAAATAATTGACTGAAAAAACAGAAGGTTGTCGCTTTCCAACTTCTTTCTTATGCCACAGTTTCAAAGAGTGATTAACTGGTTGTTACACTGTGTAATAAATATGCTTCAACTGAAGAAGTGTTCAATTGGCTGTTAATGCTTTAAATTACTCAGTGTGTACCTCACAGCCAGCTAGAATTCACTTTTGTGACTGTAAAGTGCCATCTCTGTCATCTTCTGCTACAACATATATACACACTATTCTCTACAATACCTTTAAAATAGCTCTAAAGTGATCTCCAAGGACCATATTTGTCATGAGATAATTACTGTCCTGTGCTATAAGAAACTCTTGACTGCTCTTCCTGTTTTAGGGTATCCCTGGAGAATAATCACTGTATAACAATGTCTTTTCTATTGTGATTTAATATCTTATTATGCTGATTGACAAAGCAGTGAAAGATGAAATTAATTTACCTTGTACCAGTAGTTTTGTGGCAGAGTTTGAAGCAAAAAGACATTGGGCAATGCTGTTCAGAGGTGTACAACTGTCCTGCTTTGAAATCAGGCTTCAGCTACCTACATTTAAAGAGGTATGAAACATAACATCTGGTAAGCTCATTTTTCTCAACCACTTCTTGTAATCAGGTTTAAGATCTCACCAGATATTTCCTAGCTGCAGAAAGCATAGCTGCTGATACGGTTATTAGAACTTTACATACCTGTGTGGTATATAAACACACAGGTGGAGAAGATGCTGATGTTCAGCACCCAAGCAATTCACAGTTTGGGTCTCAGTGGGGTTGGGTTGTACAAGGTAATCCAGATCCCCAAACATGGGAGGAAATAAATCAGGAGGAGCTGTGCAGGCTGACTTCCCTGAGCAGTGAGGGAGAGGGAAACTGCTGAGGAAACCTCTGGTTATGTGTACATTTTCCCCAGGAGAACGACACAACTGCTTGTCTTAGTCTCTCCAAGGGATGGGATGTTCATCTTGGTCAGACTAAAACTTGGAACACAGCTTCTGGGCTAAAAAGTTGCTGCTCCTGGCCACTTGCCACCAGCACTACGGTTCAGGTTCATACGCCAGCGTTTCATGGAACAGTTTTTCACCTCACTCCCCTCCCAGCCTCTGTGGCACATGGGCCACCTCCTCATTCAGGGGACAAAGCCTGCCTGATTTTGAAGGATTTAATTGTATATTTTTGTAGGATTTGTAACAATTTTTGTCCTTAAAAAGATATGGCATTTTCAAAAGAAAAGGGAACAAGGTCAGAGGCAGTTTGGAAAGCACAGGACAAAAAAAAAAAAAACATTCACAAGTGAATATTAATATTTTAGTTGTCAAAGGAAGGATGACTGTTTCTTAAACATAGGATATCCATTCCGTAAATGGTTTTGTGACTTTTGAAATACTTGCACCTCCTCACAAAAAAAGTAACGAACCTCAAAAACCAAAACCTTAATTTTTTTTTCTGATATAATTCAGCAAGGAAGCATGTGAAAACAATGCTAGAAACCATTTAATCATTGTTTGATTTATTTTGAGAAAAAAAGTTACTTTACGTGAGAATTTTTGATTTCTCACTCTCCCGATGAAAGACAAAAAGAATAATATACCAATGACTTGTGATGCAGTATTTGATTTTTCCGTATGAATATATATAATATATTTATGAAACTGTTATCTTTATTTCCCCTTTTTCTTCTCATATTATTTGATTTGTGGGAAAATTAATAAAAGAAATTACATACACAAAAGCCGCCCATAACTACTGCATACTCAAATTGATAAATGTGAACCATACCCAGTGTGATATTTAACAGAAATGAAAATATGAAGGTACTAAAGTTATATCTCTTTTTTTTTCTCTTCATTGGTTCTGTTATTAAAAGAAAGGAAATTTGAATATGATGCATCTTGACAATGGACCCTTACATAGTGAAACACCATTTAGTGTTATTAAAATGTGAGTTATTCTTGTAATTGAAATTTTTTTTCAATGCTAAAACAATGATTGATGCACATAATATTCACTTGATAATTCACAGAAAATACAGTAACAGTAAATTTCTAAAAGCAATTAAATTGTCTTCCGTTAACATTGAAATTACAAGCAAAGAATACTTATTAAATTAATAAAAGTGATGCATATATAATTTAGATTGAGGTAGAAACTAATGTAAACTGAATTCAAATGTATTTTTACATATAATAAGCTTCTAATAATACTTCTGCTTGCTTAGACAGCACAAGCTCAATCTACGCACCTTAAGGCAGAAGTGAAAATATATGTTTAGGTTAAGCAATGCTAAGTTAATGGTTGTACTCAATGGTTTTAGAGGTTTTTTCCAACCTCAATGATTCTATATCACTAAGAAACTCATGACAGAAAGGAAGTTTTATAACTGGAAAAGTCAGCCCAGTGCATCTTTTCTTTCATGCTTTAGCAGAGTGGTTTCTCTGTTTTCCATGTAGAAAATAAGAACTTTTTGCCACCTTATTATGTTGGTCTTCATCTGCGTGAGACCCTAAAGATCATAAAGTAGGTCTCAGATGCTATGGTAACAGTGACTTATGAGCCTGACGAATCACTTTTTCATTTGAATAAAATGAAAAATGTATTTGCTTGTAGACACAAAGAAAATTAAAAGAAGGCAGAAAAAATCTGGGAGGATGATGTGCACAAAGCAAAGACAAGCACAGAATGTAAGTGAAACAGTGTTGTGGTGTGACATGCAATGAAGAGTTTTATAGATAATTTAAAAAGAGTAACTATGGATGCTGAATGTGAGAGATCACACAGTGTCTGTGTGAAACTAAGTCACATAACTTTCTCGCACTGGCCTGAGAAAGTGTTTCCTGAGAAGTCATAAGGAGGAATCAAAACAGTCCTTGGAGAGGAAAAACAACCTTTGCAGGTGTTGTTTACCTCCTTGTTTTTTTCTTGCAAGAAATGGTTAAGGGGTGTTGTTCCTAACTGTCCAGTGATGGTGATGTGCAGGTTTGGTGACCAATGTAAGCTTTACCTTTTCAGACCTTCTAGGAACTGTCTATAAAAGAAGATCTGGAAGAATAAAACTTGCTCTCTTTTGCAACTAAGGCTAGAGAGTCTGTGTCATCACTTCACCATTCCTAATATAGTGCAACAAATAATTTCCAGAATCAACTCAAGAGCAGGCATTATATGAAGCCTTCCCACTGTAGCCAAGAAACAATTTGTCATGCATGCTTTGGCAATGCATGTTCCGTGGTTGTTATATATTTTAGAGAAAAAAATGTTAAGAAAATACTCTTTTAAATTATTTCTACTTAATTTTTTTGTTTATTAATACCTATTATTGATCATAAAGACTGAATGGTTGGTATATCAGGCAAAATATACAATAAATATACTTTAGAAGTCTCTGAAATTGAGGTGAAAGGTGCCCATGGCAGGAGCATTGGAACTAGATGATCTTTAAGATCTCTCCTAACCCAGGCCATTCAATGACTCTATGATGATTCTATGAAAAGCTTCAGTCTTACTGCAATAATCCCAAGTTTCCTACCTCTTTATAGGTTATAAAAGAGAGGCTTCTTGTATTTTTGGGAACTTAGACTTTTTGGACTCCAATTATTGCAGGTTCAGTGAAGCATCATGTGCCAAAAATTTCTCTAATGATGCTAGTTTAGGACTGTTTCTTGGAGTGAAAATTCCCTGTGTGAGAGCAAAGCGCTTTCTTTCAAACACTGTAGTTGTTTGAAATTTATAATTACAATTTTAATTGTATGC